AGAAACGAGTCTTCAAGGGGGTCCGGGAAATACAGAACATAAAAAAGGAGAGGGTGGCACGCCCCTTAGACCACTGTGTTTTGAGGAAAAGCAGAAATATGCCACAACAGTTAAGAACTCAAATTAACATAGCTGCCCTACTGACTACTGGGAGTAGGCATATCTGCAAAGTTAGATTTAGAAAGCTGTCTGCGTTTAGAACACGCTCCAGCAGGCTTGGCAAACAGCCATAGTGCAAGAAACTGAAAATAAAACTTTTTTTTTAGTCCGAAACTCAGAATGCTGCTATATATAAACACCGGTACAGGGTAGCAGTTTTATCATTTTAATAACGGTACGTGTCTTAAGTTTACTTTGAGCTACAGAGAAAGAGGAACAACAACCTCTCCAAAGAAATATAATCAATTCTCATGGCAAGTGTGCCAGAAAATTGATAATGACTGTCTACATAGCTGTCTCTGCTCTTCAAAGTGTGACAAATATGCAAAAAATAACAGAAAAAGAACAGATCAACAAGCTGCTCTTTAATACTCCTGTGAAACACTACTGAGTTTTCTTGAAACACGCAACCCCAATAGGAGTTGCTCACTGCCTGTATGGGCAACTGAACAAACAGCACCACACTGCACAAGGGGAGAACTGTCAAGAGGTCAGGGGTCAGCAGGGTGCAGGAGGAGCTCCTGGGAATGTCACACTCACTCCAAACCTCCAGAACGCTGCTTGAGTCCAGTAATATCACAGAATTCACCCAGAACTCCAGAGAACTCCATATCCAAGACAAAGCATCTCAGCATTATCAGTCCTTATATTTATAAGAATTATTTGGTGTTTTCACTTATTCCATTAGTATCTAATCAGAGCTTTTTTCCTGAAATGTATTCCATAAATTCATCTAGTGAATCATTCTACTTCTACTTAACCAATGTAATATATTATTATGTGCTTTACAGGTGTCTCTTCCTCTCTCTCCATCACAGTGCACCTTTCTCTTTTTTTCCCCACCCTTAACAGCACTTGTCATTAACCTTGTGTTTGTCTTTCCACTACATTCTGTAGCATATTAACAAGTTAAGAAAATTCTAGTCCCCGGATTTGGCTTAGTCTTTCAACTAAAAAACGTCAGAGAAATATTAAATAAAACAGATGCCTGTGGAATATCAACTGTTAAAATGGGGAGAGAGTTGGATGACATCACCATGTTTCTCCCATGCAAAGGGCCCTGGGAAGGCATTGTTAGTGCTCGTGGTGAGAGGGGACCTTGTTTCTGCTTCTGCATGCCTGGTCTCCTCATTAATGTCACTCAACATCAGTTTTTGCTAGGCTAGCTCCATCAGCCCTCTGCCCTCTCTCGCCGTCTGCATGCAGCCTGCACCATTGTTAACACAGAACCCAAGAACTCAATGCAAAAACGACTAACTTAAATATAAAAATGAACTACACTGGAACAAAGAAAGGCTCAAGCATTCTCAATCGAAGTTCAGCATGTCAGTATACAATGCTAAATCACAGAGAGAAGTACACGCACAACCAGTGTGACTGGACCTGTGTTCCACTGTCCCACTCCTAGCACTAACAACCTGCAAACCAACAACGATCTGTTCAGATCACTAATACCTAAAACCATGACAGATTTAAAAAATAACTATATATATGTTTTTTTTATAAAGTGCATACTACATGTCTATATTTATCTCCTAACATAGCATGGAAGCCTTGTAACTGCAGTTCTGCATAAAAGGGCACAGCAGCCCCGATCTTATCCTCCCTTACCTTTCCTTCCTTACTGTATCCTTGCAGTGCACCATGGTTTTACAAGACAAGAACTGAGTCCCAAAAAACCCACTGTACATGTGATGTTATGATGAGGACACCATGACTTTACAGAAGTAAAGGCCAACCATTTAATTTCCTTTTCATTTGTTTCAATTTTCTCTAAATTCAAGACAAGAACCATTAAAATCAGTAAGGAATTTTAATAAAAGAGTTTTTTTGGAGCTACATCATGCTTCATTAATTCGGCAACAAACGAAAAGAATTGTGTAACACAACAAATTCCGTAAAGTTCCTAATTGGCGCTACACCGCGCAGCTGAGCAGCAAGAACACATTTACTTGGCTGGAGCAGCTCTCCTGGCAGGACCTCAGTTTCACTCCAGAGGGGCACTCTGCACTTCCCAGAGTGTCACCTTTGGACTTCATTAAAATCTTGGTGAGGAGTTTTCACACTTGGCAACGTGTTTTCCCACACTATGGGAATGAACAGCTTTTTTCCCTGGTTAAGTATATTGAGTGCACCAACTATAGCAAAGGGAAAAGGCACAAAAGAAAAGAAAAAAGAAACACCTTCAAGTAAAACAAAACTCGTTTACAGCCATGCCCCCTGACATTAAGATGTTAGTGTGCAGTGAACCCAAGAGACTACCTACTGCTGGCAGGTTCACGTTCAGACAATACAAAGAGGTTTTTTTGTGTGGTTTTCAAGACGTGTCAATTCTACAGGACTAACCTTGCCATGCACAGCAACCTGAGCCACTCCAGGTTCTTTTTCTATGTCAATACATGCTTCAGGCTCATATAAATACTTGACTTCCACAGAAGTTCAGAAATATATCTTTTGAATCACCAGAAGAATATTATCAACTTAAATATATATTTTTTTAATCCTTCTAGGTAAACAACTCGTGAAAGAAATAGATCCACATTTATTGAAGGATTGTCTATTCTTGATTCCAATTAGTGTCATTAATCCATGGATCGCAAAAGCAGAAATAGCACACAAGTCAATAGTCAGTCTTTCCTCCAGTGCCAGGCACCAGCCAGTGTACAATCAGCATCAATTACAATCATGCTAGGACATGTTAAGTTCTGATTAAAAAAAAGATTGAACACCACCACAGGCTGGAAACAAGGCTAGTCTCACGTATTGTAAAAAGTACACTTCCTATCAGTTTTAAATAAAATGCAAATTTCCTGCCTTCTCACACTGCTCTAAAAAAAGGACACCCAAAGCACAAAGGAAAACAGCAAAATTATAATATATCCCTGCTCCCTCTCTTGCTCCAAGTCTTTTCTGTTGCTTAGCATTTGACAAAAAATAGCAGGCTATATTGTGTCAGGTGACTAGAATAATTAAATTTTTGGGGGGTAGAGGGCAGGGTTGCTTTGTTTTCCAAAAATGTTTACAGACTAAGCATTTTTTGTTCTTTGTGTTACCTGCTGACCAACCTCATTAAAACCCCCTAGAGTACACCCTGAGGTCAAGTGTAAAAGGCTCAACCATACACCACATGATAAAGAACTGGATGAGAGGTCTCTGGCTAGCAAACTCTGAGGCTGGTGTAATGTTACTAAACCTGGAGGGGGTACCTTGATTAGAAGGTTAGCAATATAAAGATGAACAAAAAATGATAACGCAAGCTAGCGGGAAAAAACTCATTAAGTTGTGCATGATTTTAGTAAAAAAGCTGAACTCCACGTGGATTGCTGTACATGACAAACTGTATTTTGTACAGTCATTGTGAAACGTCTGTATAGACGCTGCCCGTACTGGAGACGAAGGGCAAATCAAACAATACATATTCCAGGAAATGATCATATGAATTTTGCCTCAGTTTTCCACAGCTCAGCTGAACCTTTAAAGCCTTCATTTGTTACTCTAAATTAGTAAAACAGGTAAAACAACAAAATAACTACAGAGTAAGGATTCTAAAGACTGGAAGAAACTGGATACATTAGTATCCAAAATTAACCAAAATGTACCTTTCAAAGAACAAGCCTTTTTTTATAAGGTAACTTTAATTTTACATGAAGGGAAAACCCAAGCAACACTAATCTAACTGCCTTAATCCTATTTCTTTAAGATCCTGTGAAAGCCACGTTCTCTGCTTAATACTAAAACAAATAAAACCCCTTTTCTTCACTAATGAGCTTGCCCTTAAGCTCATGATGCTAAGACGACTGAAGATATGGTTTAACCTACAAATTCTGTTAACGTGTCGCATTCTTTTTTGTTAAAGAAATTACACCAGAGACATTGTTTATTCTTTTTTTCTGGGAAGAAAAATGATGTTGATTTAGAAAGAAACCATCAAGTAACAAGATTATTTTCTTTCATATGTTAATCTAGCGATATGATGTAAAATAAAAATGAATCTTGGGGTTTAGAAAGTATAAAAATAAGTGTGAAAGAAAACTAGCTAAGAGCCGATTTGTTGACAAAATAAGGAAGAACAAACAAACATGACCGAAGAAGAATGTAGTTTAACACTGTCTAGAAACAAGGAAACTTCAATCCTCTTTCACAAGCAATGGAAAAGAAAAGGTTAAAACATACAACAAAAAAGAAAGCTGCTCACACAAAAACAAGTCTCTGGTAGTTTCTCAACCATATGCCGATACCCTTAAGACACCATGTGCTCAGGCTTTGAAAGCTTTCACTGCCAATTCCCTGTTTGAAACCTGAACTGCTCAGTAACAATACCTCTCTGTGTGCCACAAAAAAAATGTCCATTATCGATCTCAGCCAGTTTTATTATCCTGGGCTGGCAGAAAGTCTCTTGTTGTAGAGTATAACTGCACACAGTGACACTCCTCTGTCTTCTATGGGCCTCCTTAGTGTTCGTGCTGAACGGCCCACAAAAAACAAAATGATCCCTTTCAAATAAGGTTTCCTGTCATCTACTTCCTTTCTAAAAAAACTGAATTTTAGGATCTGCAAGGACTGACTGCTCCCTATTTGTCTTTCCTTTCCTCAGGTTAAGTATGTTGTGTGTCCACTCTCATTGTGCATGCAAGCACAGCTTGGACGGCTCTGTGTACCTTACCCGTCTCCTCCTTTCATACAAAAGCACCGATATGCAGCGACAGAATCCAGTTCATTGCCATCGTCTTATTTTACAACACACCAGTACACAAAAATCTATACAGATCATAATCAAATAAAAAATTAGTAGACCGTCTTCCAACTGTAAAGAAACGGTAACCAAGTGGTTTCCTACTTACCTTCGGTTGAGCTCGTCTGGGAAAGGCAACTTTAGGATCAATCTAGAAAAATAAAAAGAACAAGAGAGGGTAGGGGTGAGGGGAAGTGGGAGAGAGTTATAACAAATCATCATTCCTCAGTCTTGGAGAAACAACATTAACAACATTTAAACAAAAACTTCTTAAAAGAAAACTGAAAATGTTCCAACTTGTTTCTCAGACACTGAAGTTAATGGCATCATCCTGTGCTCAGACACAAATGGGAGTGCTAACTTTGAGCTTTCAAAGGCTGATTAGAGATTAAAAAGAAACAAAGAAAAGGCTGAATCTTTGTGGTTTAGGGTTCAATGACAAGAACAAGCCGCACAACAATAACCAGAAGTGAGCACAATCTCTGCAATTCTTCCCTTTCATTTTGCTATACCATCTTCATTCATTTGTGCAGCCTGCCAAGTTATACTGAAGCATGTTCTTGAAGCCTAATCAACCACACATTAATAATGAATTGGAGTATCTCATGCACCTTGTATGCGATTTGTGATTAATTTCAAACTATTCCATCAATGTTGATTGAAAAAGTGTGTTTGAAACTGTTCTCATACATAAAATAAATCTGATTTACAGAATAAATCTGATGTTCAGAAACACAGAAAAGGACTTGCATTTCTTATCAATTGAATATTTAAGTGTTTGACTAAAGGCTGAGTATCAGATATTATAATGTCATCATAAGCATGAGGAGCAATAACAAAGCATCTTGCTATACTGAAAAAATATAGGCACAACCCTATTTCTAAAATGCATAATTTTGGAAAAAGATCCCAACTAGCAAAATTAACAAAAACAACACTGTGTTGTGTGGAAGGCAAGACACAATCACAGGAAGTAGTTGGTGTGAGTAATTTCTAAACCCAATCTCAGCTGGGTACCCCAGGAAAAGCCACTCTGACAAAGATCATCCTAATCAAACTTAATACTTTTCAAGGAATGTAATACTTTGTACAGACCTGAACACAGTCATTTGTTTTGTATGCCTTCCTTTCCACCTCTGACATATGTTATCTATTGTTCAAGTTGTTGAGATTTTAATATATATTTTTTTTAAATCTATCACCTTCCTTTTCCCACCTGCCTTACGATTCACACAAAATACCAGCTCACTGTAGCAAGAATATTAGCTTTTTTATTTTTTTAACCATAAAATGGTATTGTGCTTTTGAATGGTTTTAAACTTGACCTAACTGCTTAAAAAAAATTAAAACAAAGCCATTACCCCATCTTTTTAATTTTACTTCCTTTTATCTTTACAGTATAGTTCTTTAAAGCACAGTCCCACTAGGCCTCTTGTGATTTTGAGGGATATATGCTGGATTCAGGCAGCAGGCTATTGCTAACAATGTTATTTCAGTTCTTCCAAAAGGATTTCATATATTATTATAGCTTCTGGGGAAATTCTCCAGATAGTTTTCACTCTGCACTGGAGGTTAAAGGTTTATGTGTTTTAAAGTAACAAAATTATATTAAAAAATTGCTTGTTTTTACAGCAATGTCAAAGTCAGTAACTATTTTACATTTAGATTGGTTAACTAGTTCTACGGTCTATCCTCTTCCATACTCAAGACAGCTGATTTAACACTGTCATCTGTAGCTAATGCATTTAAGCACTGGTGGCTAATTTCTGAGACAGAAATCATAACCGCCAAAGCAGTTCTAAGTGCATTTTAAAAAAATGTATTAAAGAGCAAATGTTTTTTCATGAATTATTTCCAAAGCATTTAAAGCAATAAATGTTAAATGGTGCATTTGAATCTGTTTAAGGCCAACCTTTCTGTATTATAATAATGCAGCATTATTCATGCTGCGGTATATTTCTTTACAAAGTTGATTAATGAATGTAAAATGATTGTAAAACATTTTGATATAGTAAAAAAGGCACATTTGTATCATTTACCCTTACATCAAGCTCAGTATTAATGACATTTGAAACAAACTGAAAAATCAGTTTTACTGATAAATATAAAAGAACAGGTTAAAGGGGGTCTGAATATTTATTGACTGCATATTGACTTCTTTCCTATTCTTTGTTGTAGTTTAACTTGATTAATATCTTCAAATTACAGGATTATGTTTCTTCCTTTAATGCTTAAATTATACAAATCACAAGAGAATACATTACGGAAGTTTGTTTCATCTACATATCAGAACAGTTGTATTGATCATAAAACATGGTGACATTCTAGATTACCAAGTATTTTTTTTCTGTATAGCCTATTTATTGTTCTACAGTAGCTTGGGAGAGAAGGAAAACGAACCTGCTTTGTAAACAGTTTATCAGCCGGCCGCTACATTAACAAAATCCTGTTCTTCTATCCTCCGTATAAAAATCCCCTTTGCTCTTCAAGACCCCTCTGTTATGAGACACTGCACTAAATCAGCCCAGTATTCACGATGCATCTTGCGGTTATCTCAGCCAGGTTGAATGCTATGAATAGATTGTACTATCTGCTTTTTTTGTAGGCAGAGGTGATTTTTTCACATTAACATCTTTTCCCGCCCAGAGGGCAGAATGGACCCAGGGGAAAAAAAGGCCATTAGCAGAATATTGTACAGGAATATAGTGTAGTGTGTTACAGTGTGGTTTTCTCCAGAGCAAGGAATAAACAGCCATAAAACAATTGTACCTATAAAAAAACAGCATATTTACTTAAAACAGGCTAATCAACTTTAATTAAACTGCACTGTCAAACTTAAATGACTACAGTAAAATCCATAAAAATGCTGACTTAAGGTGTTTTGGTCCTGATTTCAGATTTGTAATGTTAAATAACTGTTTTATAATAAACTGAAAAATAAAATTGAGAGAATAAGTGGAAGGTTATGAAAGTCCTACCCTCTCAGAATAGCTTTCTATTAAAAAAATACAATCCAAGATTTTTGTGGTTTTCTAGTTTAGTCTTTGAAGCATTTGATCTACAACACACCATCACCAGTTACCAAAACACCATTTAATTTTCATGGCTGGATGTAAAATGTAGAAAAATATATACAGAAATCTGTGTTGTTTCCACTTCTGGGTTCTACCTTTTCAGAAGTGGTGCACAGATCTAAAAGGTGCACTGTAAACCTCAGAGCCGCTTCAAAGTTCTTATCTCACTGATCTGTCCCTCCGCTGGGGTTAACCTCAAGAGTGCAGTGATTACTGGACTCCTGTAAAGCAACTGGATGGTTTTGGTGGATACCTCGACTCTGTGCAGGCCATAGGTCTGAGCACCTGCTGGCAGCACTCCTTACTTATTACACTACACAAGATTCATTGAGGAAGAAGGAAACAAAAAAAAAAGATTAGTCCATTAGTGCCACACTTGGAATTGCAGATTCAAGGTCAGGATCCTTTCTAAAAAAAAGGTTAGAAACTTTTAAGGAAATTCCTGTTTGAAACCACTAAAGGCAAAAACATTTAAGCTTTACAGGACTTAATGAGGAGGGGCTTAAATTATTTTGCATGTCTGTGCAGCTTGCATATTGTGGATATTTTCAGCAAACTGCAGCACTGCTGCTGTGCGAGGTCATCTGAATGCTGATTCAAGGTCTTGTGCAAAGAAACCTCCAATCACAACCATAGAGAGATCCTAACAGGCTGGCCATGAGGGTCGTTACAGACACAGGAATGCAGGAGCAGTTGAAAATAAAATAATAAAGCCCTTCCTGGTACAAACATCCCACAATGTTTGAAGTCCGTGGGGGCTGCAGTGAAGGGCCATTGTGTCCGCTGACTGATTGTGTTCTGTGCTCATTAACCACCGTGACGCATCAAGAGCAACTAACTGTCAATTTCAGTAGGGTCTGAGTATCACTTTTATCAATGAGGTCACGCTTCAGCTCCAGCCATTCAATTATTGAGCTTAAACAAAGAACAACACAACATGGCACTCTTCATCCAGGAAATAATCGCTGCATTATTTACAACATCCATTATCGGAGCGTTTGCCTTTTTAAATCTTTTCTATCATAAAGTTAAAGTACTCGCATTTTTCAGTACTTTCAGTTTAGTATGAAAGCTCAGTACGGAGGCATCTTAATTTTAAAATTAATAAAAATAAATTCTGCCTTTTATTCAAGAATTATTATTACAGCCAGGCCACATTTTTTAAATTGATAAAAAATGAATACAATTTGCCAGTTTTTTCAGCTTTATTTATATAAAGAATTGTAGAATTCAATGCAGAGATGCATTACTTCTGGTGTCTGAGAAACAATGTTTTTACCAGGATTTTTTTTTAGCAAAGAACACAAAACAAGAAAAAATTAAGATTCTGCTCTACTCTAACTACACAGCTATCGTTCTGAAAGGATTAAATTAGATTCGGAATAAATTTAGCACTGGCTAAGAGTACCCATTACCAGGGAAATGCAATAGGGCATGAATTTCTATTTTGCAACCTAAAATGCATAAAAGATAACTGAAGTTTCTTAACATTTATCTTTTTTAGACAAACGTGGAACAAAGATCATTGTTTTCTTTAACAAAGGTAAAAAACCTTTTCTTTGTTTTCTTTAACAAAGGTATATAGCTTGAAAACAAGCATTTAAAGTAGATACTTGAAATTTATCAAACAAAGCAACAATATCAGCAAATAAAAGCTCACAGCAATGATAAATGTACAAAAAGCAACAAGTATTGCCGATTTAAAGAAGCTTTACAGCTGTGAGCTCCATAAGAAAGTACCTTTTGCATTTCCCCGCTTTAAAAAAAACTATTTCTACTGAGAAATCAAAATAAAAATTAGTCAGTTAGATGCAATTCTACTTTGTATTGTCAGCTACAGTCCTCTAAAAAAAGTGTCTATTGGTACAACTCTATTTTTTTTATAAGTTAAGCATTACCTAAACAAAGCCTTAATGCAACTGTAAACAACTGCTTCGTTTCCATGTCAATACCCAACCGATCTGCTGCCTGTACTGAACGTTGAAACAAAGTCACAGAACACTGCATTCAGACAAGCCCATCAACATCCCCGGATCAGCAGAAAGAACTCCTCGCAGTCACATGAGGGTGCTTTTCAGAGCTCTTTCACCCCCTCCTTCCCAAAAAGTAAAAAAAAAAAGAGACCACAGTTGTGGACTTTCCTGGTGTGCTTGATGTGGGGTCATAAGTCCTCAGAAGGGTAAAAACCATGAAGAACTTTTTTTTATAAACCCATACTGAACATTTCACTTGACAGTGTTATATGGGGGGACACCACCAGACTGGTCCATAAAAAAGCAGGCATGAAGGACAATATTTCAAAGTTTGCAATCTGTACAAAACAACTGGACTCACAGAGGAATAATATAATTCTCCCACATAAAACGTCAGATCATGTTTATTCTTTGTTACACTAACCAGTGCTTTTCTACCTCTTAGAACAATGATGTAAATGTGAAAATGCTCTTTTTCAGAAAAAAAGGCTTTAATTAGCACCCTCCTGTGCTCGGCCATGCTAAATCCAATCATTTCAGGACAGCTGTACATGCAACAAGTTACTGCTGTTTTCAGCCTCTCTGCGGTCTTCATGTATTGCATATATGGAACACAACATGTTGCCTTTTTTCAATGCATATTTGGAAGGCTTTTGTCACTTTTTGATTTAATTTCAAGGACAGAAAAAACAAAAACAAACAACTTAAATGGTGCCAGTAGCAAGAGCGGATGGATACTACCTCCTGCTTAGAAGATGCTAGCACAAATGTACGATGTGTTCAGAAAGTCTGGTTAAGAGTCTAAAGCAGAGCAAGTATGGTCTATTAAGACTGTTTCAAATCCTTTTTTTAAAAATTAGACCCTTTTAAACTACTGTTAGCATTTACCCATTCTGTTTTTCAAAATATTTTGTTTTTAGTTTCTATTACCTTAAACAAAAACCGTAACAATCTTAACATAGTTAAACTGTAAATATTTTGTGAAGTAGAAAAAATATTTATCCTAATTCTGGAAAGAATTATTCATTGCTAACACTGCTTGCATTTCAATCCTAGAATTTTCCCATCCTCTGGGATCAATAATTCTGTTATTAATCACAGGTTGTTGAGAAACACTTTTAAAAAACATGGGTTTGAAATGAGATGGAATATGTAAATGTGTAAAACCGTTTATAAACACTACAGTACATATTTACAAGAAAATATGAATCAGAAAATAATTTGATTACTCCCAATCAACAAAAGAAAATTATTGGTTGGATCAAATCAGATCTAAGCAGTCGTGTGTTCCCAACCTCAATTACACAGAAGGAGGGAAACTGAGCTTTGACTTATTCAGTCACAGTTGGTTTTACTTAAAATTGTTTCTAGGAAAAACAGAAAATCACAGTCAAGATTTAAAAGCACAACCATCATCTTTAAAGTTTCAAAACCTTGTGTTGACAGGTAATATTAAATCTGAATTAAAACGTTTTTTATTAACTCCTGTCCACATTACACATTTTCTAAAAATGATTTATGCACCTCTGTTATGTACCATTATAAGGTGTATCGCATTTTCATTTTATCACATTTTTTATCTTTTTATTTTATAGGCGGTTAAGGTTATCCGGTATCCAGTAAGTAAAGATTAATATTCCAATTTAGAGTCAAAATTTTCACTAAAAGTGATTTTTTTTTCTTTTGTAAATCACAGTTTTTAATGTTTAACCGTTGATTAAGTTGAAAGGTGTTCATTTAAAAGTTAACTACTAAATTTTTTCATCTAATTATAAAGGGGATATACGTTATACTATTTTCCGACTTTTTTCCAGGGGTCCCTGAAACAAGCTGTATAATTCTTAAATGATCTTAAGCACTAAGATCTAAGAGACAGCGGTGTGATGTTATGATGTTTAATTTAAAAAAAACACTAAACTGCGACGAGAAAGTCACCTCCTTGATTAGATCTTGGGAGAAAAAAGGGAGGCCAATCACCAAGTAAGCGGGCCAGAGACGGGGCTCACAAAATCCTCTTCAACAAGGATACTGAGTGACAGACTGTGCACACCTGAGTGGTGCTTAATTAGGGGAAAAGTGCAGGCGGATATCACCTTGTGCAAAGGTCAACAAGCCTCTGGGAGACATTTCTAACAACAAAGTCAAATTTAAACTTGAGTACACCTATAATAATTATTTTTATATCTAAAAAAATGCTATATGAATACCCAGCTGACTAATGACATGACAATCTTTGAAAACCCGTTTTATAAGACATATTACGTTATTTTTAAAATTACTATTACCGTCTTTTTAATGGGGAGAAGTTACATCACAAATTTAAAAAAAAATATTCACCACTGACGACCTATTATCGCAACTCGCGGACCCCACGTCAACAGAATGAAGGGATTCATCTTTAAAAATAAAACACAGTCAATGATTTACAATGTTGTTGAAACAATAACTGAAGCTACAGTACGTCTTTGTGCGGCAATTACGTCCATCTGGAAGATGATGCCAATTAAAACGCACATCGCTTTGATTCTAGCTTACTGTACGTCAGTACTTCTGAATAACTTTTACCTACCGCTTCTAGATTAAAGCAACTGGAAACATTTTAGGTGCAGTAACGATTAATCGATAGAAATCAACGAGGCACCCCCGGCTCCTTAAGGGTTAAATTATGACATTCTAATAATGTCACTGCGCAACTCGCACAGACACAATGGAACTGGGGATGCTGGCCCTTTAACACTGTTAATCACAGACACCGCACAAAATGACATCAACACAAACACAAACATACCGTCTTTGAGTCTAATTCGTGATGTGGCTGGGCTAAGACTTTATCTACACTGGCTGCGTCCGCAAACGTAACGAACCCAAATCCTCTGAAAAAGAAAGAGCAAGCAGCGTGAAACAGCAGCAGGAACAACAATTCACGAACAATATACAAGAAACGGGCATTACATTTACTGGAAAGCAAAGTATCGCTTGAGACAGCTGCCGCAAAATCGGTATTTTGTGTTCAATACTTTTATTTATTCACCTACCCCGAAAATTTACTTTTTCGAAGTATGTAAAACTAGTCTGAATATATACATCGTGGACTAAATAATTAATAATTAAAACATGTGAACGTTTCGTGCTTAAAAGAGTTAAAGGGAGGGAAAACAGCAGATTGCTTTGGTAAGCATTCTATTGTAAAAAGTCCCAAGTCAATGTCAAATCACAACATCCCTGCAAAGCACAAATTGAACTGCTTGAAAAAGCGAGAAACGGAGCGATAATGTCAACAATGTTACCTTATGAAAGCAATAAACATTTTAAGCCGCAACTATAAATACAAAAATGAAAAGTGTAGCAGAACATCTTCTTTACCTGGAGCGTTTTGTAGTGGGATCTCTCATCACCATACATTCTCTGATTTCCCCGAATTTGCTAAAATAGTCTCTAAGGCTATCTGTAAACAAGAAAGGAGGGAGATATCTGGTTATAATATAGGTTTTGGCAGACGAGTGCTGTTCCAATTATTTAAAATAACCCGCGATGCACACAGGGGTCGAATAGAGGACTTTAAATGACTGGAAATCAAAATAACCTTGCGCGCACAGAGGTACACAACATTATCCCACATACAGTACACACACACACCACATCGCAGAACTGGCTCAGGCAGACTCGATCGGCTACAAAATACAACTCAAAAACAAAGCCGAAAATAGGACCAGAAATAAATCGCTCACCTGGTGAGGTCTGCCAGCTGAGGCCGCCGATAAACATTTTACTGTAAGGAGAAAACATAGCAGAAGTGAGTCCAGATGTCAGATCGGCCATTTTGACGTGTAACTACTTACAAAAAGCGAGCTAAACGAAGGCAGAGGAGCGAGAGAGCTCTGTTACTGCTAGCCTAGCGAGCTATCTTCAAAAAAGGGGGGAGGCCCCGTGTGCTGAATATAATCAAACAAAGGTGTAACTAACTGTTTCCGGAAGATAATAATGCTTATGCATTAATTAAAACAAGTGAAGATTTTACATTTTCAATCAAAAAATAAAAGTGCGATTATTATTTCCTTGCTTACCCCGGGTCGTGCTGCGAATCATTTGGGCTTCCAGAGGTGGCTTGGCTCCCGTCTCCCTCCATAGCTAACCCAACTATAGCCAGTAACTAACAAACACACACACAGACACAGCAAAAGCTAAGCGAAGCCCCGCTAAGAGAATATTACTGAGCCGGGAATGCAATCGTCACACGTGGGATCAGCTCAGCCTGGCTCCCTCCCCCCACCCCCCCTCACTCCCTTGACCCACATGGGGCGGAGCTGGAACTCGTCATGTAACCAATCCCTTTGACGTCAGTGCTTGAAAACCTCCCCTAAGGGGTTGTAACCACGCCCTCTAACGGCCATAACGGTGCTGTTAATTCAATGCTGGGCCAGCAGCATGTACTGCAAGAAACGCCTTTCTTCCGATATCACGGACCATTTCATGTTTAACAAGGAATCTGCGTTCCCTAAAATTTTCATTTTTTTACTTTCTGTTTGGCTTCTTTGGTAAAATATTCCCATTCAATTAATGACACGAAACACCACTGTTTTTTATAACACATTGAGGTAAAATTATGAAACTTACATCATCTAAAATAAATCTTTAATAAGTGTAATAACTTTAGCGTGCATTAGTTTCAAATGCTTTTAACTGTTAAATGAATGGATTTTTTCATATGTCTCAGTTGCAATATTTATTGTGCAGTGCTTTGGAATGATGTACCATGAAAAGGCATTATATAAAAGTTATATTTTATTCAAAGCTACAATTTAGTAACGCAGATGCTAAACCCTAATGTTTTTAGCTCTTTAATATATAATCATGTCATTAGCAACAAATATAAACTTGCAACCATCAATATTATAGTTTAAACAAAAAGCCTTATTTCAAGGTCATTTCTTGACAGTGTTCGCATTTTTGTACAACTGATTTTGGATTAAGAAATTTCATAAATTGTAATATGTATTTTTTACCAATAGGGAATATGTAAAAGAACTAACTGGCAGGTGCAGTCAAAATGGTTTGTTTGGTAAGAGACTGTACCAAAAACTTGACAACTTTCTTATTCAGATCCTATTGCTTGATTCTTGATGCTATTTTTAGATCAGATAGATAACTCCAGTTAGGGCGTTCTCTGGTCTTCATTTTGCCTCTGATCTTTCCTTAATTGAACAAGTTATTTGGATAAGAGGTGAGAACACCTGTGTTTTTAGGTGTTAGTGAGGTAATCATTCAAAAGTGCCTGTAAAATCTGTAACTATAACCTGTAAAAAGCTGCAGGACAGTGACTTCTTAGGAATGGAGTTGCCTATCCTGGCACAGATCCTAATTTATGGTTTGCTATCGAAACTGTAATGAATAGGAAACATAGAAAGCAGCTGTTTTTTCCCATTCTGTTCAGGTTTTTGTTTACAGTCCTGCTCAAATTACTTTTATGGAAACGATGGAGAAATATTCAAATTAAACTACTTAAACTAAATTAAGATTCAACCATATGCATTTAAAGACAATACACATCATTGTTCATGTGGCAAATACATTTGTATGTATGAGGAACCCTACACTACAACGTCACACAGGTCGGGCTTCAAGTTTGTCCTCATGTTATATCCCATGTGGGATTAATCCGCCTCACTCAATGAAACGTTACATTATGGTTCCTCTGTTTCACATAAGGGCACAGGACGACACTCCATTACCATTCCACAACCGGGAAACAGCAGCCCTTCAGGAGTGAAGCAACTAAACACGTTTTAATTTCTAGCTTAATTTCAGCTTTATTTTTTCTGTTTAATCAAACTCATTGTGCAAGCATCTCCACTTATCCTGTTCCATGCTAATGTCCTGTCTTTTCTGAAAAGTTTTCAAAATTATGTTTGGAAGGCTTCTACAGAAAACTGAAGAATCAAACCGAAACCCATAAAGCCATTAAGGCCTCTCACTATTTATAAAGAATGTAGATAATTCAAGAGAAAACTAAATTGAATAGCATACCTTTTATTCAGAGTTGTTCTTAACATTTAAAAGGCTAAATAATCATATGCTTTCTACCACCCCATATTTTCAGTAGCCACCTACAGTCAGTATAATGGCACCTTACTTATTATAAATAGACCAAACCTACAAGCAACAAGTTACTATATAATTATTTCTTGCTTCGATTTACATATGTCTATGCTTTAGCATAGGGACCCATTTGTAATGCAAATTGCTGAAGTTCAAAATCTACATGAAGCAAAACTACCAGTATGTATGAAGAGGAATGTATTGACATTTCTATACATGTTGAATTTATTTAGATTGGGAGGTTATTTTTCTCAAAATTTGTGTTCTTTATCCCCCAACTAAAAGGGAATGGAAAACAGCAGATATGGAATTGTCACAAATGCATATTAATATAATTCATATCCCTTTGCATTATTTAATGACCCTGAATAATAAATACAATATATATATATGATATGATATGATTTGGAGATATGTGTCGAAGCCCTGAGGTTTGTTTTCAGATGCGTATACTTTTATCACATTGTATTGTTTGTTTTTTCCTGATGTAATTACAAATTATAAGGCCACATAAATTATTTTAAGGATAACATATGGTTATCCCATCCATCCATTTTCAACCTCTTCTTCCGATTCAGGATCACGGGGTTACCAAACAATTTGTCTTTATTTCTTGTTTTATCGTATTTTCCTTTCTCACACACTTTTCTTTCATGTATCTCAATTCTTGTACTTTTTAATGTTTGTATGTTTTTGCAGTTTAAAACAGAGAAATTGATTTCTCAGCAATTCTATGATTTTGACCTCTTCAAATAAAAGCTAATAATAAATAACATTTATATTATATTAATTTTTAAACAACTTAATGTTTTGAAACAAATACTTGGATAATAAACATACAACTACCAAAAATATAGGAAATCAGCTTGGTATAGTGAAAAGGCTGTTTTGACAAACAAAGGACAATGTTAGGAAACAAACCTTTAATCCTACTGAATACATTGCACTAAAGAAAAACAAATTAAGCTTTCCATCAGGTACATCAAAATGCCTCTTGGTGGGGGCTATGTAGTAATATGGCCTTGTTTTGTTTCCTTAAACATTACCGACCTTTGTATTGCAGAAGGATCAACAAGTGCAGTAAAACATCAAGAAACTGTGCACTCACATACTATACATTACCCAGTGCTAAAAGGCCTATCAGACAGACATTTGTATTCTAGTGGCATAATGACCCTAAGATTTCTGTGAAGTCTACAAAGGAATAACTACAAAAAAAGGAAAATTACAGCTATTGATAGGCCACCTCAATCTCCACTCTTCAATCTCATTAAAGTGGTACTGTATGAACTAACCTGAAGACTGCTATTGCAAAGAATAAACTAAAGCCACAAAATAAATGAACCACCATATCTTTGGAAAGATGCTAGAACCCAATTTTAAAATATATGTAGAAATAGACTGGGGACGTCCCAGGTGTTTAACCCAGTGAAGGGGCTTACTTGAGCCCAGGCTGTGCTCTATGGTCCAAGTGCCTTGGGTTTTATCCTGGGTCAGGTCACTAGCCGTCTCTGGCCAGGATTCCCTAAGTGGCCGAGCACTGCTGAGGGTTAGGGTGGGATTCATCATACGGGGCTCTCTGAGCTCCCACCAACACAGCAACCTTGTGAGGGACGTGCCTCTCCTCCAGGCAGCACTGAATGTGCTTCCGTTTGATTCTGTCAGAGGGACTGTAGCAGCAAGCTACAGAAATACAAATCACACAACTGGTCATTCCAAAATCATGTGGGTATAACAAAAATAACGTTTAAAAAAAACAGACTGGAAACTAAAAAGAATCTCAAGATAGGTATAGTTATATTAAATGTATGTTATATATCCTATATACATTTCAAGAGTAATTGTCTTTTCAAATGCTCTTTTGTCTACAACTATATATATAATTAATTTTTAACAGAATTATTTTCAATTGAATATGTATATTGAATATACTCCCTGGAATTGCATGATCATGCAAACATACGTGATTAAAGATCTGTTTTTAAGTATGCATATTAATTGTGAAGAAGCACATTGCCAGGAGCTAATAGCTTTTTGCTATTCCCATGATATTTAACCATTCTGATCTACAGTTTTTTTAATTTCAGTGAAGTTACTCATAATGCTTATCTTGAGTTTGTTTAACAGGTTTTTTTCTCTTGTGTACCTGCATGTTGAATTTTGCTAATTCATTAGTTTCTGAAATAATAATGGTCATAATTAAACTGTTACTCTGACTAATAACAAATCTAAGGCGTTTAGTATATTATAGTGTTCATCATACAGCATGTTTCATAAGGATTTACTTAAACTCTTTTCAGTGTGTAGTGCTTCATAAATGAGAAGCATTTTGGACAGCTTATGTTATATGAAATAGTGTCCATTGCTTACTCAAATTAGCTCAAGGTTTTTCATATTCCCTTACTGTTATTTACTAAATGTTGAGCAATGTAATAATTAATTACATTTTATAGAGGAACATAAAGCTCAATCACTAAAAAAAGGAAGAAAAAGAATATCCTATTACAGCCCCTAAATATTCATGTTCATTACTCAGTAACTGGAAAAAGCAAGCCTGGTTTTCCATTAAATTTAAAGTAAGTGAGAGCTCAATTAAAGCTGGATGCTCTGTGGATTCTAAGTCATGCTACAGTGATTGCTGTTTATTTCCTAGCCCTCAGTCTGAGGAGGAGAGCTCCGTGGCCCAAAGCTGACTCGTCACTCGTTTTTTTTTCCTCCTGGCTTCTGAAGGGAATCTTCGGATCGCAGTTAAACTCAGCGAACGCAGGGCCGTGTCAAGTCAAAGACTAAACAGACCTGACTTAAATCTCCTTGACTGACTGACATGTGGATGCTGCTGTCTCACCTTGTTGACTAGCCTTTCAGAAGCTGTCTCTTTGTTGGTAAACAGAACCCCTGCGTGAGTGCACCTACGGGGCACAATTACTCAGAAAAGTTAACATCTTCTTCTCCCGCCTAAGTCACTTTTACCACAAGCTTTCTTTACTGCCTTCCTAATCCCACTTCTCGTTTTGAAAAGCCCCAGAGTTTTAAAGCTCAGCACAGAAATACATTTCCCCTCTCTTATTAGCAAAAGGAGAGTTTTGGGATTCTAAAACAAATTGCTCTACACTTTATAAAGACGATTGGCAATATATTAGCTTCATTTTAATGATCTTCCTCGTTA